AATTCTGTAAAATTGAACACAAAATCTAAAATAGATTTAAGAAAAAAGTTAAGCGTTGTGGTTTTTTTTCATATAAGTGTTTAAGTTAAATTTTTCAGAAAATCGCAAAAATCCCGGCGTTTCAAAACATGTGTACAACCGAACTTCGTTCAGAAGTTTAGCGCTTCGTTAGCGACGATTTATTTGTTGGGTACAGACATAAATTAAATTATTCTATACGTATTCAACCTAATCGACTTTTCACCTACAACAATGGCCAGTGGCACACTACTCACCAGCATATTTGTTTTAAGTAGGTACCCACAAAAAAATAAACACTTACCAAAGACGGTTCGGTGCAAGTGTAATAATATTGCGCAGTTGTGGTAACCGCGGTCGTATTGAACGGTTCTGGAGCACCCGCGGGTGTCTTGCAGGACGATCGGCGGCGGTGAAATTGTATTATAATCCATTATCACAGTATACGATAACATTAACAATATTATCAACGAAACGATTTTTGCGCGAACGTCGAGAATCGCGTCGTCCGAGGTACTGGAAGGTTATCCGTACCGACTACATATTTGGACGGGCGACGAGCGATTTTTTTTTTAAACAGTGTATTTTTTTTAGAAGACCAAAAAAAAAAATAATGGATAATTTTTATTTGGTGTATAAATAATATTGCGTATAGTTAGGAGGTACCTATTATATTGTATTATTATTTATAAAGGATAAAGTATTCCGATATAATCGCTATAGTCGAGACACATATTTTCTACCGACCACCCGCGATTCGGGGTTTTCGGGGATTTTTTTTTTTGTCGGCCGCACGCCGAGTTACAGGTATTGTGCGAATAGGTTTTTTCGCGAGTAAAAAAATACTGTAGAGGTGCCGCGTATAGCCGTGACATAATGCGTATCGTGGTTCACAGGATGGAAAAAAAAAATGCAATAATAATAAAAAGGTCGTAACGTGCTTTTATATATATATATATAAACAAGTATGATATAGCAGAACGCTGACCGTAACTGAATGGCTGCAATTATTATATTTTTATACACAGAGGATAACACGAAAAATAATATCATAAAACGATACGACGCGACTACTGCAGCATGTGTATTTTAACTCAACAAAAACCATATGTTTCCACTTTGGTTGTTATAGTAAAAATAATAAAAATACAAAACAGATGATACAAAACATAATCTGTGGAGTATAACAAACGTCCGATAACGATATTTTTCCAAATGGGTTATTGCCTTGGTTCCAGGGGAGCAGGGCTCTAGACATTTTTTTTTTTTTGTTTTTAATTTTGTCTTGTATCATTTGTTTGTACGCATGACACAAGTAGGTATACGCATATTCTCACACGTTATGTAGTTATACTGAATATAAAAACATCTTAGGTGATATACTCTATGATGTACTTAATGTATGGCAAAAAAGCTGTAATTCCAAAATTGAATTTGCTTATATTGGAAAATGAACGCGTTCGTTGATCATTTGTTTTCCGATGTCATATCTATACTATAGGTTAAACATTTTAGAATTATTAAGTCTACCGTTTATGACGATTAAATATTATGTTTTCGGTGTCGATTACTAATACAAATGAGTTAATAGGCGATATTTTAGTCGAGGCGGTTGAAAGTGATTTGTTTTTTCATACATTCAGATCAATGGTTCTCAACCTTCTTAAAACTTCCACCTATTTGAGAAACAAGATATTTTTAAATTCTCTCCTCTCTGCCTTAAAATAAAAATGGTGTACTTAAGAAGTTTGTGTTGATCAGCGGTTGTACTTGGTGCTTCAGAGCCATTTTTTTGCTTACGTTAGGTTCAATGCTTGTGACATGGAGGCGCTGGTTTCCTCTGCAGTTAACGATGTCGAGCCCTTATTCATGTATTAATTCTAAACCAATAATCTGATTATATAGCTTAAATGGGTATCGAACACTACAATTTAGGTCGTGACAATATTATTCTTTCGGATTTCACCATCTAAAAGGTGAACGATTTATTTCGGAATTTTCTAAAATTTGAGAAAATTCGGAAAACCGTTTTCTACGCGCGTATCGTCCCATATCTCTATAAAAATGAAAGTTTTTCCTTTTTTTTAAGGGGGGGGGAGGGAGGGGCAACCGAACGTTATTTTCTCGATTCAACTATCGATTATAGGCCCGATGGATCCGCGCACATTCCGATTCGCGGACCGCGACCCTCAATGATCTATAATATTCCCCCGCGAATCCCTCCGGACAATTAAAACGATGACAATTATTGCCGACGATAATAAATAACGATCTCGCCCGTCGGTGTTATTTCGCAGGTGTTGGGAACCACTCGCCGTCGACGACGACAGCAGCAACAGCGGCAGCAGCAGCAGCAGCAGCAGCAGCAGCACTACAGCGTGTGTACATTATTATTATTATTATTATCATCGTCGTCATCCGCTCCCATGATTCATTGCCGGCAAGATGGATGACCGAAACGCGGCTGCGACCCACCCTCGCGGCCCGGCGCGAGGAGCAGCCATGGGGCCGCACCCCGCGAACAAAACACACGAACGAAAATATACACGGAAAAAAAAAAAAAAAAAAAAAAAAAAAAAAAAAGGGGGCCGCGCGATTTTCTGTGTGTTTCGTATACCGCGTGCACACGTCATGTGTAAGACGACAGCGGCGGGGCTGTTTTGTAACGATAATAGCGATAACAACGCGGCGTCGATATTACGCATGCGCATGCGACGAGGATATTGTGCGCGCGAGAGGTATTGAAAAAAAATACATTTTTTTACATTTTTTCCCCGATCGAAATAATGCCCACAGTATAAAACGTACAATTATTTATGTGCACGGATCGTTTTTCAACACGCTCGGCGCGGTGGATCCCGACTGTTTACGGATGGTTTTTTTTTTTGTTTTTATTTTTTTAATTTCGTTCAAAATTACCAAATTTACCGCCGGGGGGTTTTTTTTTTTCACGCGACATACTGTTCGATCGAGAGTATATTGGCGGTTTTCTACACTCGATTTCCATCGTACAATAATAATATAGCTGTCATAGTGTATTGATCGGATTGAACATTTTTTTTTTTTCCCCCGCTAATACTTACGATTGCGGTTTATAGTTTTTTTTTCGATTTTTTAAACATTATACTGTATACTTACCGTTGTATAACTATACTATTATTACGCGCGTATATGGCCAACATATTTGTTTCGGCCGCTTTATACGAGTGTATCAAAACAATCGATACTATAATACGATAACTATTAGTAATACGTTATATGTACTGTTGCGTTACTGTGTTGTATTTATGTGTATACTTACCATCAAAGGCGCCCGTTCGTCTAAACCTAAGGGGTTGACAATCATACCCGTCCCGTAATTCGGGGCACAGCAAGTATTCACGCGACAGTATAATTACTTACGGCTATTGATACGCCGCCACCGTGACGGAAGAAGAAAAAGGAATTGAAATAATTTTCTTAACACGTTATATTGTGTAGTCTCGCCACTGGACTGACGTGATAATTATTTTTTTCATTTCCTGCGCGTGTAGTACGCTATGCGTGATAATTTGTCTTCGACGTTATCACTAAAACCGTATAAAATACGTTGAAATTTGTTCGGTATTACGCAGGTATTACGAACCGCAGTTATCGGGACGCCCGCGACCATATTTATTATATCACCTGCATTCTCACCGTGACGTTTGGTCGGTAGTTTTCGCGACAATAATACAGCGTTATTACGTTATTATTTACGATTCCGGCGACAAAAAAAAAAAATAGAAAAAAATAAAAAAAAAACAACACCGCATTATTTGTTAATTAATTAATGTGCGCCACGATTTACGCTTTACACCCGTACCTACGCATATCCGCCAACGATAATTATAATAGACTCGTATAAATCTGCAGCGGGACGAGAAACGGGCGGCGCGACGTTAGACAAATTAATATCGCCGCCGACTACTCTCGTATAATTATAATAACACCTAATACAAGTAGACAATTTACACGCGCACGCACGCACGCACACACACACGCACACGCACACTCACACTTACCCGTATAATATGCTTCGTCGGCAAGGTATACCGCGATGGCAGGTTTCGTGTAATTTGTTCCGTAACAATTATTATTATCGCGAAACGATAATTCATAGACCACGCGTGTGTGTATACACACCCGTCGCAGCGTGCCGTATCGTTCGCAGTGGCGCGAGCTGCGAGAGGGGGGGGCCTGTTTGAGGGTCACATCACCCCTATCACGTACACTTAAAATTTCATCAACTGTTATTACGAGTATAGGTATGTATCTACACGTGCATCATATCTATTCGTCTAGTAGTTTTATTTCGAATTCATAATATATAACATTGCGCCCGAGTAAAAAAACGTTTGATTTATTCAATACAAACATACCGGAGTTGTCGTTTTCGGATCCGACTTTTAAACGCTGTCGCTGCCGGACGTGTACCTAACGTTTACCTGTGTTAAACCTACGGTTTATTCGCGACTGTTATTTTTTTTTACCACATCCGCCCCCGTTGAAAATTCCCGGTCTCGCCACTGATCATTCGTATCAAATACATAGTATAGCGTAATCGATTAAAAAAAAAAAAACACGCAATAAGATTAAAATTAAGAGTATTGAGTATAATGAAAAAATAAAAATCGAACGTACAGCCGCGTCACGGACATCACTGTAGCATAATAGATGGCAAGTTTAAAAAGTAAATTATTGTACAGGGAAATTCGATTTACAAACTAAAAGCAACGATAAACCGTAGTAGTTGAAAAGACTATTTTGAGTGGCGTAATGTTAGTCGTGTTTTAATGAAAATTAATTGGTTTTTTGTTTTATTATTTTTTTCGTTGGAGATATTGTTATGTATGAAATAGAAATAAAAATGGATTTGAACACACATACACACACACACACACACAGTAAAATAAATAATTAATATATCATTATCATTTTTTTTTTTTTTTGTATATTTTCATACGAAATAAAAAATATTTTTTCGCCGTAAATATGTATATAGGTCAGAATATACTTTTGGTTTTCGGCGTTGCATGCGATCGATGTTCTTCTTATATTTGTCTAGAACAAAAAAAAAAAAATAATAATATATATATATATATAAATCAATATCGCGCGATTAATAAAAGTAATAATTTTTCAAAATATATAAATAAAATGACGATAAAATCGGTTAGAAAGGAATTTTAAAGTAGTGTATAGCGTAGTAGCGTTATATTATACGGTACTTTGGACGCAATAATTAATTCTGAAAAAAAAAATACTTTAAGTGCGGTAGATAATAATAATATACATAAATAGATAACGTAGTATTGAAATTTATACGTCTTGAAGTATTCTAAACACATTACAGTTAAATTTTATATAAAATAAAACAAAATGTATTTTATTAAGTAAAGGTATACAGGTAGTTCGCGACGGGCAAAAATAATGATTGAACCGTTTCGTTTTGAAATAATAAATAATAATATTATAATCTAATTGAAATAAAACCGGAGAGGTTAATATAATATAATTAATAAATTATCGAACAATTTTTTTTTTTTTTCAAATCTTATGAATAATAAGTTGCATACAATAATAGGTATTTAGTCGAACGCGATTCGGCGGCGTTTTTAGAGAGGAGATTAGGAGGCAGATGTATTTCTCTCTTTTTATTTTTATCATAAATTATTCATATGACTTTTTATTTTTTTAAATTCAAATCGTATTACTTTTCTAGCAGGATAAAGAAGATTTACATTTTCATTTGTGTTTCTATATAGTCGGGGAAAATCGAAAATGTTTGTGCAGTGCATTGGTACCTATCACAGTCAATGTACAAAAAGGAAAACTAGAACGTATACATTTTTCTATTTGAAACGACGAAACTCGTTAGAACCGCTATTGATACTATTGTATATAAAAGAGGTCGGGTAGTAATAATATCGCTTATAAGTATTATAGTTTTCGATTTCGAACCGTGTAGGGCAGATTCATGAATATTATTATTACATAAATTACTTACAGAAATAAGTTATGAATTGAAAATTGATACACGCACGTAAATATAATTTTTTAGTTTGATAAGCCGTAATTTTCAAATTCGATATCTCTCCCCCCGCATTGAAAAAGCCGTAATTTTTTTTTTTTCAACGCGATCTATACACACCCGTTATCCGTTATACGAACATACATTTTTTATCCGACGGAAACTACCGCGGTACGCTATAGTGTATAATAATAATCATGTTAAGTGTTCTCGAAAACGGCGGTTTAAATGAGTATCGTTTTATAATTGCGCGGCGTTACCTCTCGCGCGAGAGCGTATATATTAAAAGAATTATAAATCATTGTAAAACCGCACGCGTCGTCGTAGCTATAGTAGGTATAGTAATACGGTTTTCACTCCCCCAAAGTTCCACAACACATTACCCACGGACCGCTCGCGAACTATATTATAATGTGCGGAATGATGTATTGACCGTTTTTTTTTTTTTAACGAATTTTAAATGATTTTCAGCATTTTCTCGGTCATTATACCGTCGACTCGTTTAACGGGTTATTTTTAAATATTTTCGAAAAATGTTACCCTTATTCCGTTCACCAAACACACGCCATACGTACAATCGACTTTCGATTTTCAACTTGTCCAAAATGTAGACTCTGTACGAGTGTATTGGTATAGAAAATAAATTTTATATGAGTTTTCAGATGAATTTCCAAATTTAAACTCTGTTATAATAACGGGATAATTCACTAACGGTTACTACGTTATTATAATTTATACATATAGAGTTACGTATTTTAACTGCAAGTTTTAGAAATATATTTTCTATTCGAATCTGTGGTGAAAAGAAAGGACGTTATTGCTATTCACAAAATTAAAAGTCGATGCGTGTTTTAGGTGTGCACGTGATATTTGATAAGGGCCGAATTTGGAAAACGCTGGTTTTACAACTACTTAAATAAATTATACTTGAAAATGTCGTGATAAATAAATCACTACGTATAAACACGTGTTCAGTGGCGTGGATAGAAGGGAGGGATTAGGGGTTATATTCTTTTCCCACTAGCACGGGGAAAAATACAGTTCCGAAAATACAACAACGATCAGTATTTATTTAGTAATTGCAACTTGAAGTTTTATACTTCAGCCAAGTCACAAGGTAAAAAATATCTTGATTTATTGAAAGAAACTTTGCTGTTTTTGGGTTCGGTTTTTAAATTCACATTGTCGGGATAGGTGTAAGAGTGTTTGACAGAAGAAGATTCTACGGCTTGTTCATAAATCGTGAATCATTATATACTATATACAAACCATATACGCTATATACAGTATACATCCCATCCCGTTGAAAACTACAAAGTACGCCACTGCAAACGTTAGATATTAAACGGTTTTGTATAAGTGTACACATAGGTACGCCGACAAAAAAATCATATACAGTGTAGGTTCGCGTCTATCGGATCTTCGTTACGACGTTATTCATAACTTAATGATCTCTAAGCGATAATATTGTACTCGATAGGCATAACGATCAATAAAACCGTAGATAGATTAACACTGAATCGATCAATCGATTATTACAATACGGTTGTACTGTCGTCGTGATCAGAAAAGGAAAATATTGTATTGTCGACGTAACAATAATTGTAAGCGAACACAAATCGTCCAACGAAATCGTAACTGGTTTTCCTGCACTGTGTAGGCATCACGGTGTACCTAATTCAAAATTGTCCACGCTCGAGTTCGTACGATAAAAATGCGTAATATTTCACCGAAAAATACGGTCTGAAAAAAAAAAAATAGAAATTTCACGTAATTATAATGTACAATATACATTTCGCCGTATTGATGGAAAAAAATAATTCAGGAAAACGTTAAAAATCCCACGGATCGCGGTAAGAGTAACGAACGAAAACGTTTTAAACTGCAGAACAACGGCAACTATACGGAAATATTTTCAATCTGAAATAGATAAGATAAATAATAATATTAATATTAATAATTATTGAAGGATACGTGGAAAGGTCAACGGCAAAATATATAAAACGTAAATCTCAAAGGACGCGTATCAAGCAAAATCACAAGGGTCTAAGTGTAAGTTACAACAGGGAGCAGCGAAAAACTATATAATCTTAGGATTATTAACAATAGCTAGAAAATCGTATCATTCGAATAAAATACGAAAATATAACCGACGCACAGTCGTTTTTTCAATTGAAACCGTCGGAAATCTACACACAAATATTTCAAATAAAGTACCGCAGACATTTTACACTCGGGGGCGCACTAACGAACCCCCTAGCACTCTTCCTCCCCCCCCCAGTCGCGCCTACGAGTCCACGAAGTGAGCGTTTTTACCAACCCGAAAAAGTGTCGGGGAAAAAAAAAAAAAATAAATAAAATACCCACCCGTAACCTATACCGGCTTCTTCGTCATACATTCAGAATCCGTAAAATTCGAAAAAAAAAAACGTAACCCACGTCTTCGCGACGAATTTTGTTTTGACACTATTACCGCCGCAGTACGGTGTATTATCACCCGGGCATATACGCACGCGCAATACTGTGCAGCATTACTTATATATATATATATACATAAATAGGTACACAATGCGGTTCACACACACACGGGGGGGGGGGGGTGGTCTGTCGAATTTCGCACGGGTCGACGGATCGGCGATTTTTCAAACACTGCGCCTCGTCGTCGTCCGCGCGCACGATAATAATAAATACGGGTTCTTGTCGCGCGTATTATGCGCGCGACGGCGACAATGGAAACGGCTTTTCCGAGCCGCGCCGCGCGCGAGCGGAAGATTATTACTCAGTGTTTGCGAAAAAGGTGTCGACGACCGTCGCCGCCGCGCGGCGCGAAATTAACGGACGGCGGCGAATTATTACGCACGTCCCCTGTCCCCTGCCCCATACCGCCGCCGCCGCACGCGTCCGAGTATTGTACGCGTACACGGCGCGGTATTCCTTTTCGGCGAATTCCGTCGGCTCCTTCGGTCCCGAGGCCTTTTTCCCCGCCCCCACCCCTACCGCCGCTCCACTCGTCGGGTCTTTTCCCGGGGCCGGTTCCCCGTAGCCCTTCACGCCCCGGCCGCGTCACCGTCCCCCGTTCGCCGAACGCGCAGCACAACAATAGACACCGCTCTCCGCGGGCGGAGTATATACGCGTAGGTAAAATACAATGACCCGGGGGTCTGGGGGAGGGAATATGGTGGGGGGGGGGAGTTGAAAGGGAGGTCGACTCGCGAGCGTTGCATACACACACACACACACACACACACACACACACCGTAGGCGCGCATTGTGGAAAACGGACGGGTATTAATGCGCTCGAAATTTGTCAACTCTCCGCCGCCGCGACCGACGTGTATTCTCTGCTTGTGCTGAGCGATGCAGCCGCGCTACGGGAGAGCCGTTGCGGATACGAGAGAAGTACGGCGGTGGCGGCGACGACGACGACGACGACGACGACGACTACGACGACTACGGCGACGGCGGCTGCAGCGTCGGTATAGACGCGCGTAGAGGAACGGACGGACGGAGAGACAGATGGGTGGGGGGAGGAGGAGGAGGAAGAGAGAAGTGGGTTTTTTCGGCGAAAAATTTTCTCTCTCTCTCTGTCGTTCCCGTCGCCGCCGCCGCCGCCGCCGCCGGCACGAGAGATGCTGTGTGCGGCGGGCGAAAGGGTAGAAAGTACATTAATAAAAGTGTCCAGGGTGTCAGGGTATTAATGTCCGTAATCAATTTCTGAGGCTTTCCGTGTCCCTTTTCCGCAGCAGGTTTCTCCGCTTCTTCCCCGCCACCACACCTCACCGTGCTAGCTTTCTCTCACTCTCTCTCTCTCTTTCGCTCGGAACCCCTTTTTTCTTCCCTATCGCCGTGGCGCCCGTTTTTTCCTTCCGCTTCTACCCTCCGTCGCCCGTCCCCCCCCTCCTCTCCCACCTCCCCGACCGGGACTGTACGCCGTATCTCGTCACCGCCTCGTCCCCTCTGACCCCCGCGACTTTGTATACTCGCGTTAGAGACAATGGGCCGACGACGACGTCGGAGGAACAACACCACTGAAAAAAAGGAAAAATACAAACTTTTTCTTTCGAAAATTATCGATTACCGGCGACTGCGGAGGAGGTGGCGGCCGCAGGGTGCACAATGTTCCGGACAGAACTATATCGATACATAATATTATACGTACACCGCGAAAAGTAAGCATCGTAAACTCGAAGCATAGGAAATCCATTGTGGGCCGCAATCAGTCGAAATAATCGTTTCGACACTCAGAATCGTTCTCAAACACCGGCGCCGAGCATCGAAAACGGTACGAAAATGTCCGGGCGAAATTAATTATTCAATGCGCAGACTATATCATCATAGTATTAATCGAATGACCTTCTAAATACGTAACGATAAGTGCGTTGTTCGTCTACCGCGACAGTAATTGCCAAACATTACGCGTAAAATCGAAACCGTAGCCGGTTCTCGAAATCTTTTTGGCACCATTAGCCCGTTAATGCAGATTTACAGTCTTCAAATTACGTTGTATTTTCGTATTCGTGTCGCGAGCAATTTTAACGCGTTAAAAATTCTCCGATAGTAACAATGTTTGCCAATGTTTTTCATTAATTACCATTGATTAACTATGTTTATTAGTTTACATAAATAAATCGTAAGTAACATCATAAAATAATATACACACGTTTATTATTTACAAAACGGATTCGTAATACAGGAACACTATAGTTAGTTGAACGTGTATTATTTGCGTGTACCCGTGTAAATAAGCAGCCCTATAGTATACAAATATACTGACGTGTATAAATAATATGTTTTTTTTTTTTTTTTTTTTTATTTTCGTCGCGAGGGGGAAATATATCTCCCCGTAATCTCCCCCCTGTAAATACGCCGCTACTGGGTCAACGGGTTTTGGTGTAATATACGCCCGCCGCCGTATTATGTCGCCCGTGTAGTTTAAAAACGTATTACTTTTTATCGGATATTTTCCTACATACGCGGCAGAGAGCATCGCAACCTGTCGGCGAAACGGTTTGTTGTTGTTGTTTTTTTTTTTTCTCTAATATTATAATATATTATGTACACGATAAATAATAATTGCCGCCAAACACCTGTAGGACGTAGTTTAACGATAATATGATTTATAACGTGTACACGGTATTTATATTATTATTATTATTATAGCTGCCGTTTTGCGTATTTCTATTTTCGTTCTCCGGCAAATAAATAACGCTCGCGCGAATGGCGGCCCGATAGACCGAGAAAATTGTACTGTACACCTTCACGGAGCGACGTTCGATTATATAAAAAAAATAATAATTATTATTATACACGGTACGAGAAAAAAAAAAAACAAAATTATTTCCATATAAATATAATATTTTAACGAAACGTTCGTTATGAAATCTGTCGCGAGATTGAAAATATATAATTACAATTCATCGGTATTATACACCTATACTCGCGCCAATTTAAATGCTAATTCGATTTTAAAACACTCGCCCGATGCGGTATTTACATAATATTAAATATTTTCGGTAAACGTACGCATTCGAAAGACACGTATACGAATAATTAGAGTAGGAACTTCTGTTTGTATCGCTGAAAATATCGCGCATATTAAATACACGATGTTTTATTTTTTTTTTTTTTCGTTAACAACCCATATAAAAAATGTCTTAATATTCAAATCATTATCGAAATTACGAATAATCGTATTTTAAGAAAAGAAAAAAAAGCTATAATTATTTAAATGCCTATTTAAATAATATAAAATCAAGAAAAAAAAAACGCTTATGAGATTGTCTTCGGAATATAGTCATTTGCATATTTTATAACTACAGTGTTTTATCTGTAAATCCGATTTTAAAGGTAGACGATTTCGCCTCTTCATTGTTAATTTTTCACGCGACTGTTCGATTATAAAACGTGATAATTTCAGCACACGCAAACAAGTTACTGTTAAAGATTAAAGATAACAAAATATTGTTTGTGCCGGTGAAATATTATCGAATGACTATCGATTAAAAGTAGATAAATAGTAATAAGTACACGATGGGAAAAAAGAAGGTCATACTTCGCACGATACGTGAGAGCTACTGATATAGGCCAAAAGTTTGGAAGGTATAGGCTCTAGAAGAGAATTTAATTTATATTTAGAGCAACGATAAAGCATTGGTAACGATAAACGATTCAAACCAAAGTTTTTTTAACACATCTACATACATTTTACCGTTTTTTTTTCCAAATTGTTGTGAAAACCACATCAAAAAATGACTATACCTACCCTGAGAATGAAAAAGTACTACCCAGATAAAATTTCTTTTCAAAAAAAGGTACTGCACTTGAAAACTGGAACAAGATTCCTCTCGTCAAGACACTATATGACGTCCGTGTCTGATGCACCGCACTCGTTTCAACGTTTTTCCCGTTTTTTCGAACCATTCCCACCCTCTCCTCTACTCCTCTCAAGGAAAGTCTCGAACGCGAGACATTTCAAAACCGCGCAATCCGAACTACCTCGGCCGTACTCCCGGGGCTTTTCACGTGTTCTTTCGAATGCGGGACCAATAATAGACGTCAAAAGTTCCGTGTAGTCGAATCGGGACCGTACGGAGAGTAGAGGGGGGGGGGAGATGTATCGAAACGCGTTTCTCACGTTACGTTTTCCGCGGGACTTTGAGGG